ATATTTCAAAAGAATATTACTATTACAAATATTTTGTTGCTCCTAAAATAACACAACATTATAATTAATATTCTTTTTTTGCTCATGAAGAGCATGAATTATAATTTTCAATATTTCAAAAGAATATTGATCGATTTCTATGTAAAATCACGAATTAAATTATTCAATTACTTTACATGTCCATTCTTTGCCATACGTATTTATATGTTGATGTATAGTTAAATTTTACTTTCTTCAGAAGAGTACAATTAATACGATCTAACGTAAATTATGATTTTTACTCTTGAAGATTAAATCCTTGTATAATTCATTATAATAATATGTGATTGCTTCTGGAGAGTATGGATTGTAATTTTCAATATTTCAAAAGGATATTGACATATTGCTTTTGCAAAATAATAATAAAATATTATGTGCTCTCGGAGTAGCACATGTTTCAAAAAATATATCAATTTGAATTAGCGTTTATCCCTAAAAGAAAACATATAACTAAATTCATGTTGACATTGAATAGTTTGAAGACTTAATTGATTATTGTATGATTATACAATATTTAATCATATTTTTCTAAATCAATTTTATTTTATTTTATTGCGAAGTTACTTAAATGACAAACATCACAAAATTCAAAATAAATTGTGAAAAATCTATTTAGTAATAGCGATTAATGTGCATACTATTTTTCAAGACAAAATATATTTTTGTCACGTAGCGTTAGTATAAAATAATGTTAATAATTATATTTGAAGCATCAAATATCGTTGAAAGCTCTAAAATGGCTTCTATTATTTTATCAAATAATACAAAATTATATATTAACAATGCACTTTATTCTAACAAATTCCAAAAAAAAAAAAACTTAATTTTAAGACATTCGTAGCAATAGATATCACATTGATAAGATGCAAGAAAATAATATAAAATATACTTGAATTTCTTTTATATATGGCCAGAAGCAGATAAAAGGAAATTTACTGGCACTCCCTTTTAGCATGTACCTGACATTCATAAAATGACTTAATAAGCATTATCACAACCTCGAAATTTGTTCATCATATAGTGACTCTATATATTATAAAAGAATTGTATTAATATTTCGGAATCAACAATGTAGAAATTCGTAGAATCTTGATAGGCTGCACCGTTCTATAAAATGTTGATATCTCTGCATGTCATGGTTCAATCATCATGAAATTTGAATAGGACATTCACAACCCATTTTGCTTCAAATCCAACGATTCTTATCAAAATCAAGTGGTTCATTTGTGAGAAATAACTATGTGAAAAGTAGTAAATTTTTAAATACTA